CCAGAGTTCGAAGTTTATGACAAGTGGAACTCGTAAGGTTTTTGTTTTGATTATTACACGTAAACCAAGTTTTGCACGTCATTGCTGAACGCAGAGCTCTATGCTTCCAGAAGTGACACTTATATGGGACCATGTTTGTCATTAAATAAAATTGCCAGCGCAGCCATCCACCATTGGAAGTAGTGCATTAAATGAATGTGTTTTCCCTTGGAACAAACAGCATGTCGCACCAAGTAACATTAAGGAAATTCCAAAGGATATTCGTGCGTTTATAGCAAAACTGACCAAACGACTCAAGTATCAAAGAGCTCTTACAGATTAGGCTGCTCCGCATATATAATGAATGTCTTTGATCTTAGTGAAGGTGATTGCGTCTACCAGGCTAGTGATCCCACAGATCAGGGATAGAAGTTAAAGGACCGTCGTACAGACTCATTTGCAGATATCGTCCTACCGAACCAACAATCTGTGTCCTTACACCACAGGAAGTCAAACAAGCTCTTCCTGTGTCTGTACAATTGGCACAGGGTGGAATCTGAAATGGTCTGTTATCAGATTCATGTTTATATACATTTATCCTCCATGCATTGCATAATATACCCGTAATTCTCAAAAGTTATCATATTTAACCTGCGTATAACATTTAAAGTTAAAAAAAAAGACTTGTCATTATCGAAAAGGAGAAGCTGTGTGCCAAATTTCATCAAAATGGGATGAAAATAAAGTAAAAATGTTCAATAACGTAAAAAAGCATAAACGCAACCTACAATTTTCGGTAATATTTTTAATATTTCATTCAAAAGTTCGGTTTAAGTAACATGACATAGCCAATTAAAGGTGCACCTTTATTATATTGGATAACTCAGTTCTGCGGTGCATAAGGTTTATAAGACGGTTTATTTGTGCCATAGGGATGTTCTGCCACTCTTCAAGAAGCGCCTGGCGCTGAGCGGGTAGAGTCTCTGGTGGATTTGGGCGCTTTCGAATGCGTCGATCCAACATGTCCAACATGTGCTTTATTGGCGAGAGATCGAGACTGTATGGGGGCCAAGGTAACGTGTCGACATTGTTTTGGGAAGATAGTCAATTGCACGTTTCGCCACATGGCACCAAGCATTGTCTTGTTGAAAGATTACGTTATGCTGGCAGACAAACGGCACGACGACAGGTTGTAGAATAACGTCGAACTACCGTTGAGCTGTCAAATTACTTTCAATGACGACTAAGGGGGTTTTGTGCCCACTACAGATCCCACCACACACCATAACCTGCCACCACCTGTCGCGTTCCACCATGCAGTTATCGGCATAACGTTCACCGCGACGTCGACTAACAGGCGGACACCCATCACTTCAGTGCCTGATCTTTGCATTGGCACAAGGCTGCACAAACATCCCTAACACATCTAGACGCCGTGCTTTTGTCCAATCCTTTCAATGAAGTAAGTTGTTTACAGTAAAAAATGTGAGACTTTCATAGATTTTATTTCATGAGATTTGTTTCTGGCCTTAGCAAAGAAAGTATAGTCAATACTGTTACACTTAAAGTGACTTGCCACTTCCTTTTAAAACAAAGGAGTGTTATAACCTCAAGTTCATTGAGTCAGTCAAAGGTGCTTGATTATTGTAAATTGGTTATTGCAATTTGTTTACAGTAAATTGGTTGTTGCAATTTGTTTACAAAGACAATTTTTGACAGCACTGTTGGCAAGAAGTATTGTAAAACTTGAATACATACAGTTTTATTCTTATTACTTGTTAAACATTCATTATAGAGTAATAACAGATGAGACCACTGCTGTATTGATGAAAAATAAAAGCCATTTAAAAAAAAGAGAAATTAAAGTGTACAAATATATATATACAATATTAGTACTTTAAGTACTTTTAAGTTTTAGATCCAAGTTTTAATGTTTATATAATTTAATACCTGTAGTGTCTCCAACAACTTGCAGGCAGCTGCCACTTGCGAGAAATCTAAGGCTGCAGGCTACCTGCTGTTCAACGGATAGAGCATGATTTCTCTTTGAATTTCTTGTCAAAACTTGTCTTAAGAGACCGGACACAAATAAAATAGACTGCCGTCAAAAGCGGTACCGCTGCCTCAATTCTTGATCTGTAAAGGTCCCGTCAAGGATCTTCTGGTGCCTATAAATTCGTTCTTTTCTCTGAGGAGGCACAATTACCAAGGCTAAGGCGGCCATATTTGACGACTCGTTAAGTATTTAATCATGGGTAAGAGAATGATTAAAGTTAGCGACTATTTAGCGAGTGGTTAAATCTTAACTTTTTTTGAACAACAGTTCAACGAGTTTAACGACTCACTAACCAGGGTTTAACGACATCGTTAGCTTAACGATAGCTTTGAACAACCGGACCCTGAGCGGTAAAGCGTGAACCATGACTCTTCGGAGTACACGGCGCCATCGTTGCATAGGAAACACGTTTGGACGGTGTTGCTGGAGTCATTGGACTCGGGGGCATTCCCACCGCGACGCGGCTTAACGCCGTAGGAACGTAGTAGACGCCTCTGCACATTATCTCGGCTTATCCTAGGATTGAGTGTCCCTTGTGTCTCATTTGTAGTTTTTGTTCAGTTCTGAACCGGTTGCGCAAGTGCTGCAACCGCGTGAACGAGGCGTCATATAAAATTCGGTCGCCCATTTCGAGGGTGGTCGACAGTTAATCTAAGACGGCTGTTAAGACGACATATTTTGCTTTCGTTGACATTCAGTACTCTTGCCACAGCATTTTGGGAGTTTCCAGCCAATAGTAACTGCACTGCCCTGTTGTGTGTATCGTTAGTACTAGTTAGTCTAGGCATTTTGACATAATCACAAACAAATTTCTTTTACCTGATTGTTCTTACCCGATACCTGAAGAATGATTAACAGGTCTGGGACACATGCAATGCGGTCACGTGTATCGGTGCACGTGCTAATCGGGCTATGTTTTTAAGTTTCGCGAACACGAGAACGCATAGTGTGACAGAGTTCAATCAACCATGAATTGATGGTGAATATGTATGATACCATGCTATTCAACACGGCTAACAATTGTTTATCAATGTTATAAATTTATAGACATTTAAGGGGGTTGCGGGGTTTTTTTGCGTGTCAGTGTATATACACAATGGGGAAAATAACGTAGCTGGGAACCTTTCGGTACGCTACTGTATGTTTCCTCTAAAAACATGTCATGTAGTAAGTGGCCAAGGGAGTTGCGTAATTCCTTGGTAAGCGTGGTAGACAAATAGCACCAAGAACAATTTGGTGAGCATGTTGGTGGGACGCATTGTTGATTAGCATTGTTCCCGAACTCGTTGTCGCTTTGGTAAGCATGTTTGTGGGACGCATTGTTGATTAGCATTGTTCCCGAACTCGTTTTCGCTTTGTCATTAAGTAACTGCATTCACCAATGAATGCATTTCAGTTCATGTAGTCATCGGTTGTCCTGGGAACGAGATATACAGCTTTTTACTCCACATTATATCTTTACTGTGGAGGAAACATCGATATCTCGTTCACAGGACAACCGATGACTACATGAATATAACCAACAGGACTTCTGGGTAATTCTTTAAAAGATGTCCAATTTTATCAAACTTAAGTCGTGAAAATGATTTAACGAAGCATCCAGTGAGAAAATAGATATATAGAGAGACTTGGCACGTCATTGTTTATGATATAACATCGGATACTGACAAATGACTCGTGTCGTGTGATAACGACGTGAACATACAATTACCAAAAATAAAGATATAATAAAACAAGTCAATAAATTACTACATACCATTCCATTTTGTATGTCCGCTTCATAATGAACCTCTTCTTGAATTAATTTGGTAATATTTCATGTGAAACATAATAATTCGTAAACGAAACTGTTTGGTCATCTGATCCGACGGACCGGTAAGCTTATGCCATTGTGCGGCGTCTGTCGTCAACTTTTACTTTAAACTACTTCATCTGAAGGACTGAAGGACCTACAGTCATGATCAATGGTTGCTTCCTGAAACAGAGCCCGAAAAAGTTTGCGAAAGAACGACTGCCCTATTTTCACTGCCAGAAATCAAATATAAAATAAGCTTCGAATGACTTCTTCTGAAGAACAAAAGGCATAGTGTCAAAATACTAGTCTAAAAGTTTCGTCGGATAAAGGAGAAGAAAAATGACCTTGACCTCCTTTAAGGTTACCGGGGGCAAATATATGTATGTCGAAAACTTCAAACGGCTTATATTTAGAGAACCAAAATGCCTAGAATCATGGTATAAGATAGTAGCTGCGTGGGATGAAGCCCGACAAAGTTAGCAAAAACAGACGTTAGCCTACTTTCGATGTCACTGGGGTAAAATATATAAAAAAAAAATAAAATCAAACGACATCTATTAAAAAGAACCGAAGGGTCTACAGTCATATTTGGCTATTAGCTTCCCGGGATAAGGCCCAATAAAGTTTGAGTAAACAATGACCTTGACCTACTCCCTGGCTCATAACATGGAAATAAATTAGATTACCTCCCTATAACCATACATAACATTGCTAGGTTTCAAGACACGAATACATTCACGCCAAGAGAATTGACCTGAATGTCAGACCCTGTCCTAGGAACTTACTGTCAGGGTCATAGAAACAGGTAAGATCCCAACCATATACACTCTATACAAAGATGGCCACGAGGAAACTAATGCTAACATGCATGCTACTAGGATTGACCATGAGGTCTTGTCTCAGCCCTGGGTACTCCATGAGTCGTAACATGGAAAGAGTTGATAGCCCACTCTATAACCATATATTTAATTGCTGGGCACGAAGAAACAAATACACGCATATCCTTAGTGTCTTTCCCTTTTGGATTAGTCCCTGTTTTCAGTTTATATTTATTATTTAAGATTAAATGACCCCAAGATTTTAACCATTTAGTTTCCTATATTTACTCCTCTATGGAGAAACCTGTGACTATGCAATACAGTTTGTTCAAAGAAAACTCAAGAATATGCGTCAGGTTGGTGTAAATTTTATTATTGCACTAGAATTGTATATACTTTGTATCCGACATAAATTCATTCACATCTTAACAAAATATAAAAAAAATGCTAAATAAAGTAATTTTTTGGCACTGACGTACTGAAATAACATACAACACAGCGGACAAATAGACAGTATGGGCCATAGACGAGGAGTTTCGAGACCGGTCCTACAAAGATAGGCAGGGAAGCGACAGGTAGAAACTAAAAGTGAAAGTAGACGAGTCGAGAAAGGAGGAAACTTGAAAATCCAAGGATTACGTTTTCGATGTACATTTGATTTCTACACTAGTCTGGAAGCTTTCATAAAATCCTGACAACATGTGACTTTTTTATACATGTTAAAAGGAATCACGCAAGAGCGTAACGGTAAATCCGGTCGCTTTTGAGTTTTGTGTAGCTGCTCTGTAATCTTCAAAGGACATTTTTAAGCCTAGAAATCTGTCTTTTTATGTCTGAAACCAACCAAATAGCTCATCAGGAGTCTTCGGTTTTGTCACGACACATTTCATGAGTGCAGAGAAGATATGTATATCGAAAGCGGAAGCTTTCAATGCCGAAAGTGGAAAGAGGTTAATTGAAACATATTGTATTTGATAAAATCGGTTTGACAAAAGTTATAACAACTTATATGATTTATCCTTCTTTAGGCAAATAAACGGTGTCAGCATTCACATAGTGATGTTATATTTTCAAATAAAATAGAAATGAAGTTAAACAAAAATACTTTGATTAACGATGTAGATCAAAGGATGGTATGATTATTGGACAGGTAACAAACAGCAGGGACAGTCAATTAGAAGAAAACTTCCTATTTACACAAACAACTCAAGTATCATAGAAAATATAAGCTTTACAATAACATATAAATATATACATTTAGAGATAACAACACAAGCAAACTGACATATACATGATTCAAGCGCTTTAAAGACTATTGACGACCCTGTTTTAAGCAAAAAATATGGCGGATGTTCGACTTCCTGTTTGCTTTGGAAAGTCGCGAGTTTTGAAATAGCTCGTTCATACTTCTAAACTTGCACTGCAGTTTTTAGTTATATCATAAATAATGTATTGAATGGCAACAGTGAAGGTCTATATATATATTATATATTTCTAATATTAACAAAATGTTCTTCTTGTACACAGACATTTGCAGAGTTAATTTCCACACATGACAAATCATATTTCAATATGCAAAGTGGACTAGTATTGTGATGCGTTCTTTATATAGTAACTTTAACAATGTTGTATACAGAAGTAAGAAATCACATCTAACAGAGTCCATACAAAACAAGCTGACAGTAGAAGGAAACTGCACGTTTCAAATAATGTAACGGTCAACAGACACATACTGTATCGGTCAACAGACAAATACTGTAACGGTCAACAGACACATACTCAACAAACGTTCGAGATTCTATTCATCATCAAATAAATTGCACACGTAACAGTTTTCGAAATCAATATATTGCCGCAAAATCGAAATTAAGTAAAATAAAATATATCTGTATCTGCAAAAATATCTACACACACACCTGTCATACCTGTATACACATATTGTATACCCTCTTAAACCAATTATGTACTTTATTAGTCACAGATCCTCAATTCATTTGCAAATCAGTACGCTTTTGATACATACGTGATTTTTTTTATTCGCAGCAATTTATGAAACAAAAAGGAAAATATTCGAGATACAGTAACATATTCAATAGCATCGTTAGCTTTGCCAACAAAATAACCCCAATCCCCATCCCCACAAACCCCATATACCCAGCATTTCATAGTCACATTGTATGTGATGACGAATCCGGAGCTCCGTGAGTTTCTTCTCCTGGTCCCACTTTAAAATTAACTCGACTTGAACATGTCACACAATAGTCTTTCTATCGGCACGTTACCAATGGTTCTGCGAAAGAATACGTCTTCAAGTGCACGCGCATTGACTGTGCGAAGCGCCGGAAGCATGAGAAGGAGTTTTCCGAAACGGACTTTATTGTTGGGTTGGTGGGTGGCAGTGTACTCGTGAAGCATGAGTTGGGCCTGGTCCTGCAAAGTCTCCACATGTATGTAGTCTCGCAAACCACGTGACTCTGAAACAACCAATAATACAAAAATATTAGAATACTTTTAAGGTTTGTGATGGTCTCGAGTAATGACATTGCAACAAAACAGAAAGAGGTGGATATGCAAAAACACAACAAAACAGAAAGAGGTGGATATGCAAAAACACAACAAAACAGAAAGAGGTGGATATGCAAAAACACAACAAAACAGAAAGGGGTGGATATGCAAAAACACAACAAAACAGAAAGAGGTGGATATGCAAAAACACAACTAAACATGACTAAATCAATTGCTTCCGAAAGAGCACGATCAAGATAACTACGGTTAAGTTTAGCGTGTTTACCTGATTTGAAGAGAACTAGTGCCTTGAGACAGGCGTATTCGGTAGAATCTACCCTCAGTGAATTTAGTCGAGAAATCACGTCGTTGAGTATCCGAAGGTTGGCGGCCATGATGGCGTGCTTCTCTCCGATCTGGGGGTCAAGGTGTAACGACCCGGGGGCGAGTAGCGTAGCTAAAAGTAAAAAATTTGAGACATAAATGGCGGGATCGGTACATTTAGTTTCGAGTTTTCTCGATCTCTTGACTTCATACAAATAAGCAGAAGCCGGCAGTAAATCTTGGCAATTCTTTGCCGAATTATTTACCCCTATGGTGAGCTAACATTAGGCTAACATCGGCCCTTCATTAAGGCTTATGAAATGCATGTAGTATAAAGAGCTTAAATTAGAAATCAAAATTTTAAGAATTCTTTTAATGGCAATTGGGACAACAACAACTAACACCTATGTCAATATGAAAGGTGCGCTGTTCACAGAATTAGTATACAGTGCTATCATCATCGTGTGAAAGACATTTCAGCTACTATTTTAATATCAAATATGGCACTCTTTCATGCAAGGACCGTTTACTTTGAGATAACCAGAAAATGATATAGAAAAAAAAATTACAAAAAAGAGCGAATGTATTTCTATCTTTTCATGCGTATTTCGCGTTATGCTGTATCAAACACAAGATCGTACAATCATTACCAACAAGTTTGAAAGGATTTAGTTTTCATTACTACTGCCTACGTCATGCCGTTACATGTTTTCTTAAAAACACACATCTTGATTTTGTTCTTCCTTTACCTTGGAATGATAACATTACATATAGTTTTAGAATAGCATGTCTTGCACGTGTATTGCGCTCATAACTTTGTGCTGCAGTCTTCCTGCATTTAAAACAAATGAGACTGTCCTCGACGATGAATTTTCCCACATGTTCGGTAATATCTTTGTGATAATAACACTTCATTTTTTTGCTTTGCCATTGTTTTTATTCTGACGCAACAATCCCATATAATTTGTATTTCGGCATCGTTTGTTTGCTTTAAGTTAATGAATTAAAATACTAGTGCCAATTGGAGGGTAAAACAATTCATATTTTTTTAAAATGATGACTCAACTACAAAGTGTAGCTGTACTGTACACGCATACAGGGATTTGTTGACATGATTCCATAGAAGATAATTCAATAGGTATGTTATTAAAATATCAATAAAATGTTCTATTGATTTGAAAAATATTTATCACTTAGTTAAGGAAAATGATCACATGCCTAAATATTAAAAAAAAAAAAAAAGATAAAAAAAGTGTATCTGTATGCGGATTCGAATCTACACTGTTCACATTTGCTGGTCACAAGCTAACTGCGTTACACATTAGGCTACGTCATACATAAACAATTGGAAATACAAACTGCTTTAACCCAAGAAACATCTGTCGCAGTTTTAAAAACTTGATCAACCCACTTTTCCGTCATACGATTTGTTTTTGCATTTTACATCACGGAATCAAAAAGTTTATTCAAAAGTTGGTCCTCGGATGGGGAAGTATTGAAAGTATTTTGTTAAGTCTGGGAAACCCCGTCACTTTCATAGATATAGTGAATATGGCTATATTTGCAGTATTATATTAACAATACCGAATATCTCAACAGTTCAAAAATTCATATTCAAATGGTTTTATATCTATTCCATGCATTTCTTGCTACTAAAGATTATTAACTCATCAATATTTGTTTCCGCTTTCAAAAATGCCGACCTAGGGAAATGCGGGCAGTTTTCCGCCATAGCTCTTTCCTTAAAATTTGGCAACTGAATTTTAATTAAAAAATTAAATATATATATTGTTTTCCTGCCACTTTTCCATTCCAAAAAGCATTGTCCATGAACCAAAATACCTCAGGTCTAGGTATTTGATTTGACCAGTAGGTTGTTCATGAAAGGTATATGAATACGGTAAATATTGAAGACATTGACCTTATCAGGGATCAGTAATATGAAAAGGTTTTTTAATAGTATAGTAGGAAGGATCAGACAAGGTCATTATTTATGTCATTTTTAATAGATTTTTTTTGTAACTGCTTTGCAGGAAGGATCAGACAAAGTTACGTTTTATGCTTTGCTTTGTTTTTATTCAAATATATAAAGAGATTTAAACTGTTCCGAGCTGAAGAACTAATTCACTCATTCATTATAAACACTGTTTCGACTGGTTCATTTAGTTCCCTCTATTTTTTAGGACATATATTGTACGTTGTTTCCAAAATACATTTTCTCTCCTGATTCGGCCAGGTTTGGCATGTCACGTGACCGTTAAACATCGATAATTTGACAGATGTCACAACAATATGCTAAAACTACATATAAGGAGAAACAAGTCAGTGGATATCCCACGTGACCAAAAAATCACATGACTTTTCCTCTTGAAACTTGTATTTAGGAAACGACGTGACATACCACAATCTAAATATTATAATTCTTTTTACTTACCTATGTCGATTGGGAGTGACCACTGAGCAGCGCTCAGAACAAACAGTTCGCTCCATGATTCCTCCAATAAAATGGCTTGGTCTCGGAACGGAAGTTGAAGGAAAGACGGTATGTTCCTCGCCCATTTCACAGACATAAAGAGTAATCTAGCCGCCGTTTCGAACAAATTGTCTGTGCTTGAGTTTATGTTGGAGGAGGAAACATTAGGGTCGGTAAAACGAGGGAAAAGTGAATGTTGGGCCGAAATCTGAAATCGTGACCCTTCCGAGCTTATACTGTTGCCATATATACCAGGTATGACGATAGGCTGGACCTTGGTCGTTTGTGGTGGTGACGTCATTACAGTAGACGAGACCCGAGGACTTTCGCAACTCTTACTGACAGGTGAAGCCTCTGCAAAATAAAAAGGAAACAGTATCTGTAGCTCGAGTCCCGAAAAGTTGTCCAGATAAATTTTGTTCAATATTTAAATAGTGAAATATCCTGAAAACATATACATCGATAAGGCAAATTACCTTTCTCGCCTTTGATAAGATCAGTTTGGGGAGTGATGCGTCCGTTACTCTCTGGCGTTATTCGGCCATTGCCGTTGTCTAGCGGAGATGGCGAACGACTGTAGTTCCGGTTAAAATCTTCATTTGACAGAGGCGAATTGCTTGATGATGCACTACTTCCGCCGTCACTAGTCCCACAGTTGTAGCGCATCGTAAGGTTTGCGTTTGGAACGAGGTTTGGTACGAACATCCCGGGCAGTCTGTGATCAGTAACGTGTAACGGAAGAGGAGGAAACCCATGGCTAGGTGTGTGGGGGTGACTGTAATCAGCTGGCACCGCAACTGGAGTGTGTGGATACTGATGAAACGGGCTATACTGCCTGTAAACAACAATAGGAACCATGAGACAGTTAATCATTACTACATCAAACATCCAGTAGATGACGAGTCACAAAAATCAAATACTGATCAGGATTTTGAGACATTATACCCGATGTATTTTCTTTAGTATACATTAATATGAACACCTACTTTGACCTCTCGAAGAACTCGCCGAGACGGTGGAACATGTGTGGTTTGTTGTCCTCTATTTCTTCAGTGTCTCTCTTGTACTGGTAACATCGAGGCGCCCTCTCGTGTTGGACAGCTGGGGGAAAAAGACAGACAAAAAATATGAAAGAGATATCCGAAAGATGGCGTTAAAAAACCCAGGACACTTGAATTCGATTGAGACTTAAATTTATGTGTGGATTCTTTCATAAGAAATGTCAGCTACCCCAAGGATGTCCGTCTCACGTTGTATTTTCTTTCCATCAATCTGTTTAAACTACCATTGGTAAGCTAATAAATTACCAACAAGTTGGTGCAGAATGATTTGATTTTTAAGTGATCTGCAAATTAAAAAAAAGGAACCTGCACTTACTTCCCTTAAAAGTAAGTTTGTATTTTATTGCTTATTTCAGAATTCTGTCTGACGCTTTAACTTAGATTTTTCAACAGTTTTAAACCATTTTTTCTCGGGATGGTAGCAGGTTGTTTAAAAGGCGTTGTTTGCAGAAACAACAATACAACAGATATGGAAAGATAAGTACAAATAGCGATGTCAATATCGGCGACTAAGAAGGCTATACCACGCCTAGAATCATTTTTTCTGTTAACAAATTTTTCACCCGACTATTTCAAAGCGGGCTCGTAACATCTACATTAGCATTTCTACCGTGTTCAATTTTTAATGCGCATTTTGTCCGCTGTCCTTTGCCCTTCCTCATATCATCTTCATGTCCTATAACGATACAGCTGACGACTACACCATCCTGTGTGTTCAGTAACGATACAACAGGTCGACCAGAGTCAGTCTGAGGCAAACAAATACTGTCCAACGTAAGTCACAAAGTCAAAGGTAAACTCAGGACTGTATGTCGGAGAGATTAATGACGTCACGAAGACCGCGATCACTGTATAACGTGCAAACACTTCAGGCATCCTTCACGTCCTAATCTGTGTACCTCCGTCATCGACTTGAGGCTCGCGCTCGCAACTGGCACGCGACAACGACAATTGATATGGCAAAATAGCAGGTGGGCCCGGGGTCGATACTTGTCGTAGGTATGGAGTACCCCGCGGTGATTGATGGATTACCTCATTAGCCTTTATTACAGTGGGCGGAGGGGTGGGGATCGAACGCAACCACTTGTACGTCGTTTGGAGCACCTGTCACGTGAGCTCGTTCCTCAAAGTTAACCAGACAAGGTTATCATTAATATACCTCGCCAAGTTTTGTATAACAATAATAACAATCTCAAGTTTGCCGACTTCTGCACAATTTGAAATCAACTAAAACAGGAACCTGTAAAAATACAAATACTGCATAAACTATGGCGGTAACCCTGAACGTGAAACTAAGGCTGATCCCCTGAGCGCTTTATTGACCACGGAGGTAAGACGATCCAACACGCGCCACGTCCGTAACTATTTTCGAGAAGTGTGTAAATTTGCTTACTGGTGCCTCATTAGAGCGCCAATCAGAGACGATATGTTTATATAGTAAACTGACTCGGCGACTGGCCTTTTTATATCTCTAGTCCTCCCTCGGGTCGACTGGGAAGCCGCAGGTGCTGTACACAGGTACACCGCTAGCTTCGAGTGCAACTTTTGTTAATTTGTATGTGTTAATTGTTAGCTTTGGACTCGAAGAATCATCATCAGATTTGGTCGCCGACGATTATTGCACGCACAGACACAGTTCCCATTGTCTGCTGTTTCCGAATTCAATTAAAATATTTTTTTCATCCTAGAAGTCAATATTGTCAGTCAAGAATATGTAGTCGTATATGTTATCAATATTGATCAGAGCTAGAAGTGGAGGTATGGTATTACGGTAAACGATCAATGTCCGCCTGTTACAGGTTCATTGTAGCTGTCACTGATGTTCCTTGAGAAACGATTTTTTTTTATTTAACGGTATCTCTAAGGTAGTGGTCAGGGAACTGGGCACACAGATACATCCTCTAAACTCACTATAATCCTGGGATTTTTTTTTTAATTCGGATTTTCAAACCAAACTTTATGCAGATGTTTCGTTACTAAAGTCACATGTAAGACATGTATGGACGAAATACCAGTATACAAATAATTTATGATATCTAAATCTGAATGTGTTCATTCATCTGTATCATCAACAAAATAGAATCCAGAACAAAACAAATTTCAGTTGCAAACTGTTGTGTCTGACATGCTGGACTACTTACCATCTTTGTTCATCTTAACGTCCAGGCACTTTTTGAAGCGACACGCCTGACACTGGTTCCGCCTGGCCACGTCTACAATACAGTTTCTGTTCTCCTTACACACGTACTCAAGGTTCCGCCGGATGCTGCGCTTGAAGAATCCCCGACAACCATCACAGCTCTGGACGCCATAATGCTTACCGGAAGCCTTGTCTCCACACACCAAACACATCACTTCCGGTTTACGACTTGAGGGACTGTGGTCTGTAATCCAAACCAAATGAGAAAGGGGTTAATTAACCAAACTATATAGCAATTAGATAGCTGTAGTTTTCAAATGAAATAATATGCTATTAAAAATAAATTGGCAGAATGGACAAACTTACAACTTTCCAAAATAATGTCGATCATGACTACAATCCTGTTAGTCCAAACAAGCAAGGTGTTGACATTATGTAGGAACAGTTCACGAGACGTTGGGTAGTATATGTCGGGGACCATTGAAGCGTCCACACTCGTCCTTGATCATTGTTTACTATTGATAATGATGACCAGACAGTTGTATCTGATACCCCAGATTCACCCCGACTGGGGCTTGATAATTGTCTTACTGAACGACATTGTTGTTGTCCTATCACGATTGTACAGTCTCTGCTTCTATTTTGATAAGTGCTAGTCATGACACATGGACGTAAATATTTCTGTTTTTGTTTTGTTTTTTGTTTTAATCATGATCTACTTTCTGCGATCTATCTGTTTATAATACACTGTATTCATATAAGTTAGAAACACAGATCAGAAGAAATCTTTAACCAAATTATAGATACGCCCATTATAAATACGATGTAGTGTGTTCGGTAGTGTAGTGTGGTGCATCTGGTGATGTGTTAACCTTGGGTAATATCACACGTTTACACATGATTTAGACGCACTGCTCTTTGCTATTATTCTATGTAGGTTTGAACATAAAGTATGACCTTTTGTAGTATTCTATTGTATTTTTTGGTAAAAATTGCATATTATCACAAAGCTACATAAAGCTTAACCCACATCCTCAATCAGATACATCGTACTCGCCAGACTAATTCCTCAATTCAGATGAAAGCGAACCTGTAAGACTATTTCAAATAAAAAGATAAATAAAAAATAAAACTGGCAGACTTTCTATTACTGAATAATATGACATGTACGCATGTACAATATATATCTTAACCCAACCACCTTACTCTAAGGAAGTTTTAACTATTGTTATTTCCATTAATTATTGGTATATATTAGTTGCTGTTTAGTATACTTGGTGATAGGTTTACATATGTGTCTGTGACACTTGTTCCTATTTCCCTTCGTCTTTTCTGTTCATTGTAATAACATGCTTGAACTGAAATAAAAGANACAGATGATAGCGAACATGTAAGACTATTTCAAAGAAAAAGATAAATAAAAAATAAAATGGCAGATTTTCTATAACTGAATAATATGACATGTACGCTTGTACAATATATATCTTAACCCAACCACCTTACATTGTTATTTCCATTAATTATTGGTATATACATATGCGTGTGTTGTGTGTATGAATGGTGTAATCACGTACTGAATATATTAGTTGCTGTTTAGTATACTTGGTGATAGGTTTACATATGTGTCTTTGACACTTGTTCCTATTTCCCTTTGTCTTTTCTGATCATTGTAATAACATGCTTGAACTGAAATAAAAGAAAGTTTAAACTAGATGAATGAGTAAATGAATAAATAGCACGTAAGTCGAATATAAATCCACACCATTGTGAGATTTAATGCTGACAGTACTAGATAAACCTGAGAATATTTGCCTTTAAAAAGTATCTTTCTAATCAATAGAAAGAAAATTATATTGAAATTTTACATTGCAGTAGGTTGGATATAAGGAATGGTGTTGCAAAATCCGATGTTTTCATACAAGAATGATGACATAAGTAGCGTATAACGGATAGCTTTAGGAACCGTAGCTCATTGTCCATTTATATTTTAAATAAATTTCTGTTTTTATTGTGAAGATGCACTTGGTTGTAAGAACTTGTTTCTAATCCATTTGTCTGTGTACATTAAAATATGTTCAAATAGGACATTGAGCTACGTTCTCGCAGCTACGCCGCCTTATTTACCAAAGAAAAATATATGGTTAATACGTGTTGTATGTTTGCAGGATTTCAATTATTGCTGTTATAAAATTATCAAAAACACGTTCCCATTCGAGTGTAACACCAAGATGACAATAAAACCAACAGCTGTGCTGCGATACTCTGAACCATTAGCTCAGACAATCTGATCTTTGTTTTTCGTGTTTAGTTATGAAGTCTCTCGAACGAGTATTCGGAATTAATGCTTTTGCTGCGTTTTCTTATTATAATTTTGTTCCGCCAAAATTTTTCCTGTGACACCACAGAACATATACTAATAAGCCTAACGTGAGCATGATATTCACGAGTCGATGTGTAAAACGCAATTCTTTTTTCCCCCCTTATTTAACATAAAAAACGGCCGCCGCGCCCTTTGATTGGTCGAAATTTACATATTGTTCGATTTTTCTCGAATTTGAAATACAGGTATGTAAAAGTACTGCAAACACAACCCGCAAGTTCATTTTAAACAAGATGGCTGCCATAAACGGGTTCTGATTGGTCGAAACTTAGATACAATTCGACTTTGTTTAAATTTGTACACTGTAAGTGTATTAGTAAATTCCAAGCTGTCTGCTGGACCTTTTACGAGTACGGGAAGTTTTGGGACTTGTGTACCGGTCCACTTTAGAATTAAAACTTTAACTACAAGAAAAATGGATATTTACTGCCATTGGCTCAAGCAGAGACGTGTATACTACATATACTGGCTTTATATGTCTCTGGCTCAAGTTAAAACATCGACTTAAATGTGTCTATGGAGTTACGGTAAGATTAGGACAGGCATTAGTGTCCACGTCGGCTACTCTTTGAAAGGAAGAAAATATGTTAACAGAGTACACTACACTACAAAACTCCTATAACGCTGGGTTTATCAAAACATTATAACGGCTGTACAAGTATAATTCAACAGACATGATATAAGTTTAGGATACATAAAAATGACCTATATGTTTAAATTGTTTTATAATCTTTGGACTTTAGCATATCAGCAAAGCCTAGGACTACGATCAGAGATCATCGAGATACAGAGCCAGACAGGGGTAGAGGTCGTACAAGGGATTGGTCAACCCCTGATACCAGGATAACCGACTTCCCGTGACTGTCACGTTGGGATTTATTAGGATTATCATCCAAATACACGGATCGTAAGGTGGGAATTTATTGGGATTATCACACAAATGTACGAGCCTTAGGATGAAAAAGTACTGCACAGATTTCAATAGTTGTGTACATTTTATTATTGCGGACAGAAGTAATTATTAATGTGCGTTATTTTCATTTCAATAATATTTGTACTTTTTGAGTCTTATTGTGAGGACAACTATTTCTTATAAGCTTTCTTTCGGGGTTTTTAAACCTTGAGGGGTTATCACCATTGAAACCTCGTGATATTATCATTAATGAACCTTGTAGAGTTATCACCAATGGAAACATTGTTGGGTTATCACCAATTAAACCTTATGGGGTTATCACCAATGGAAACAGTGTTGAGTTATCACCAATGAAACAGTGTTGGGTTATCACCAATGAAACACTGTGGGGTTATCACCAATGAAACATTGTTGGGTTATCACCAATGAAACAGTGTTGAGTTATCACCAATGAAACAGTGTTGGAATATCACCAATGAAACACTGTGGGGTTATCACCAATGAAACATTGTTAGGTTATCACCAATGAAACCTTGTTGGGTTATCACCAATGAAACCTTGTAGGGTTATCACCAATGAAACTGTTAGGTTATCACCAATGAAACATTGTTGGGTTATCACCAATGAAACATTGTTAGGTTATCACCAATGAAACCTTGTTGGGTTATCACCAATGAAACATTGTTGGGTTATCACCGATGAAACCTTGTGGGGTTATCAGCATTAAAACATTAAGGGATTATCACCAATGAAACCTTGTTTGGTTATCACCAATTACCCGACAAAGTTTCACTGTCACTTTGTGATAACCCCACAAGGTTTAGGAGGCACGGTAGTCTAGTAGTAGGACGCCGGGCTCGTGACAGAAGGATTGCGGGTTGCGGCACGGCACTGTGTTGTATATCTGAGCAAGATACTTTACTTTACTTGTTCCAGTCTACTCAGCTGTAAATGAGTACGTAGTTGGGCAGTGATAGAATTGTTGAATGCTAGCTGTTAGCGCCGAAATGACAGCTCCGGCTGTATGCTCCCCAGGGAGTTGAGAAAGATATTGGCTGGTTGCAAAGGCCCTATAACCACGAATAATAATTTGTGAACCGCTTTGAGACGACCTACGAACTAGGTTGTGATAAAGCGGTACATAAGAACCTCGAACTATTATTATTATCACCGATGAAACCATGTGGTGTTATCACCGATGAAATCTTGTTGTGTTATCACCGATGAAACCTGACGTGGTTATCAATATCTACACAAGACTATGTAGGATACTAAAAGCATTTTTTTATAATTTATAAATCTTGTAATTGATTTTATTGATCAAAACTTCCTTAAACAGATATTACTTAAGATTAATAAGTTAATGAGACCTTTCTCACGGTAGTTTACAAATATGTATCTACGTGTACTTATTATTATTATATCATATTATATTTTTTAACTTGTCTAGGCGTGTAACAGCAGCGATCCTCAAGTTTTTGTTTTGCATTTGAGCAGCTAATATTCAGTCACATTGTTCAGTATGAAAACATGTATTATTTCAGAGATTTCAGACTTAAAACAATTTATCACGATGGGTATAGCAACGTTTTAAGACCGACTAGGTATCTTTATCAAGGCAACCTACGACTAAGATACTCAGCTTGACACACGCCAGTTACGACTCGATTACAAGCGTATCATGTTTGAAAATCTTTGATACAAACAAGTCCTTGAGTGGATTTTTAAACATTTATAACAATTCTTGTTTTATTTACCGATCAACTTATATTTGGTATTACTTCCGTATTGAAGTTTGAAAATGACTAGTTCCATTTTCATTTTTTTTCATACTTATTGTATATAACCCACTGTATTAAATAATAAGACTGCTCGTATAACGAGGATACACGCAGATTTATGGTAAGATCAAGAAAACAATACTAGTTTTCGTACACTTAGTGTTACATAGATGTAAATCTACATTTTAACATGTAATTCTTATTTTTCTACACAAACAACCCGTGCATGTTTGTACAAGTGTTTACAAGTTAACTGTGGGGACTCGCTGTAATACCAGTGGTAACATATATGTAATATTGCGCATGATTGATAAACCCGGCTGACCATATACCGTTACGGGCACAGTGACCGCATCGAGAGGTCAGCTTAATTTAACTTAAGGACGCCAACGGGTTAAAGGGGGGATAATTCAACTGATCTCACTTTTCTATGCTAATGAACCGTATTGATGTCGGTCCGATCTTGTAAACAAACAAGTCCACGCCGCGTGTCCATGTTTGGTCAATACGAGACCCGGTAAACAATGGGAGGCATTGTCACTGCCTTATAACAAGTAGATTATTACTGATAATCCAACGGCGTAGTTCTAACATTACGGCAGGTTACCGGCGATGACAATCCGAGTAAAAACTCAAGGGTTAAGATGCATGTACGTGTATACGCAATAAATATAAACCAAATGTATTTTTA